CCCTTTCTGTCCTAAACTGTTAGGAAATGCTACTTCTACATATTAGCCCTCCCACACATGGATTCTTTTAAGTGGTGGATGAATGACTTCCACACTGGCTGACATACTGTTACTACTACAAGAATTAATTTTTTTTTTAAGTTTGTACAGTGATTTATGCTTCTGAAGGGAAAAGGATACTTCACATCAAAGTTTTAGAATACCAGAGGTTAAATTTTCTTTGGCAGTTTCCTTCTTTTTATCTCTTAATTGATACAGCACCAAGGAGAAAGCAGACTTAATAAAAGATTCCTACCTACAGTTTATGCTAAATCTTTTCAAAGGAAATTTGACTTTATATGCTGAGTTTCACTTGCATGATGAAACAGCAACAGCAGCATATGCTCAGTGCCTTGAAATCTGACTCAGTAAAATGAAGGCATCGAGCCAGGAAATGGGTTATGCTACAAAGCAGCAATATTCCACATTACCAGTTTATTTACTTTTTTCCTGGGAATTTTGGAAATACATTTGCAGCATTAAGTTGAGAAACGGGCAGATGGAAATCCTTTCATTGCACTCATCTCCAAAGCATCCGCAAGAAGAACCGAGCACCAAACATTATTCAGAAAGGCAAATTTGGAATATCACATGGAAGAGGGAGCTCACCAGTGGACAGTGATACAAAAGAGGGAGAACTGCAACCAGTGTGTGCTGAGGGCAGGGACCCTTCATGGACACAGCTACAACAGCAGCTGAAGGGAACTGCACACAATGTCATTTAAAAGCCAGGAGCGCTCCACGAATAAATTAAATGAGAAGTTGTGAATTTTTATCCAGGCAGACGTGTGCCCTCAAAAACACTGTCCAATTTGCTTGAATTTTCCATTTCTCCACTGCTAAAACGGAAACAATTTTTGACTCCTTTCCAAGCAGTACACATAATAAAACAACTCTGCAGCAGCCTGCACATATTCAGCCCTCAGTGTGATCTTCCAGCATTATTGTTAACCTTCATTTTGGTTTTCCATCAGTGGTTGGTAACAGCAGGTTTAATTATTGCAGAGTCCTATGTTGGGAGATAGTGGATTGAATTACTTGAATCAATTTTAATTTAATCTGCCATTCATTAGGTTATTTTTTAATTATGAAAGTCTAAAATGTGGTTTCACTGGGCTACCGGTTACATTTCACCAATAATTCACCAAAGTTCATTTCATCATCCAAATGCTGCCATGGGTTTGCATAGATCTGGGTTTAGCCCATGTGCATTTGGTTCAAAGGGCAGCTGTCATTTTTCTAACATTTTATCCAGTCACTGATAAAATTTGCAATTCTTTCTAAAATGTTTATCTTGTTGCTTGATCAAAATAAGTTTACATTTCAAATAATCATCCCCCAAGGTCTTCCTTGTTTCCCATCTGTCTTGTCTAAACTCTCCTTCTCCTCTCTTTGTTGTGGATCACAGTCATGTACTATATGCAATTCTCCCATTTAATTGTGCTCTGATTAAAAGAGGATTAACACATCCCAGCCTCAGTATTTCTGGATTTTCATGGGTGCTTCTTTATATTGATCCACCATCCAATTATCTTCTATAAATTTACACAGAACTACTAAAGGATATAAGTTACCACATGAAAACAGCCTTTTTAAAAAATAATGGTTTACATTATTCTTACATCTTTTATGTCATAATTACCTACTTTTCGTGAATTTTTATTTATGTTTTCATTCATGTGGTTATCTTGATTTACACAGGGAACACCACTGGACGGTCTCTAAAATACGCCACATGAATTAAGAGATTATATAAGACATTAGTTACATAAAATATTGTATCATTTATTACCAAAAAAAAAGGTTTATTTTCAAATTTTGAAGATAGACATGTGATTGCTCTTAATCTCCTGTTAATCTCCTTAACTACCACAAACTTTTTTCTACTTGGAATGCATTACCATTAGAATTGGAAAATTTAGTAGCCAAAAAAGAGAGTCACAGAAATACCACTGATCTCTGTTCTAATTATCTGATCTCTATTCTTCATTCTTCAGCTGTGGGGTACTGCATCCTTTCTGTGAATAACAAAAAAAGATCAGTTGGGGATTTTTTTTTTTTTTTTTGGGCTTTGGGAACAATAGCCTATACCAGACTCTGAGAGACTACCCTGCATTTTATTTCTGCATATTTTATCTTTCACAACAAAAACATCCCACTAACTATTCAGTTTCTGAAAGATTTCTTTCCAATAACAAAATAAACAAGTTTATTTTGAGGGCACAAATCTATTTCAGAAAAAAGGCGGTTTCTTTAAAAAAAGCTATATAACTTTAGACTGTCTGAATTAATTCTTTAACTTCCATAGACATTCTACTATGCATAATTACAGAGAGTTCACCATGCTTTTATTTCCCCTAGCTGGCTCTCTTATCTTAACCAATGACATCATATGCTTCCTAAATGGTAGTTTTGAATAAACTTTTTTATTGCATTGATATACATCTCCTTAAAAAAAACCTTCGTACTTGGTAGACAATTCCACTGACTATAATTCTAGTGTCATTTTGAGAATAATTCTCATCCAGATGAAAAAAAAAAGACCCAAAAGCAGGGTTTTTTAAGAGAAAGAAGAATATTTTGATGGACTCCATCCTACAGTCTGTGCACTTCAATAAAATTGCTGCAAATTGTCCTATCTCAGGCTGAAATGGTATTCCACAAAACAGCCCAGTTGCTATCATGACAGAATGCCCACCTACTTTGTAGTAGAGGCAAAAATCATCATGAACAACTCAGACCAGTGGAATATTGCTGAATAAAAAATCCAGTGCAAGGCCTGTGGGTTAATACTCACAGCTCTTGAGGAGACTAAAGATTTGGAAGGCTGCCCTTCCCCATGGGTAACACATGTGCCCAGCCTCTTGGGAAAAACTGGACAATATTCAAAGTAACCAGACTCTACCAGGCAATTAAAAAAAGAAAAATAAAACAAAAAACCAAAAAGAGCCAAGGAGATTAAATCGGCATTTTAACACTTTCAAAAGTGAATGGTTCGCTTCAAGCCAATCACACCACACAATAATTATTTCTTCCACAGATGGGACCACTATTATATGCAGAGACATGAAAGAACGTCTTCAGATTCCAGAAACCTCTGATTTTTAAAGTGGGAAATGTGCCAGAACTAGCAGGCTTATTCAAAATAAAGACATTTTCTCTTGATGAGTAACGCAACTAGAATCAGTAATGACTCTTGTGTTGCTAACTGATTTGCTATTTACTTCACAGCTAAGTATTAATACAGTATAAAAACATTTCACTTATTCCAGAAAATTAAGAACTGACTTTGAAAATGTGTTCTCAATAGCTCAGAGTGAGGCAAACCTTATTTTTCCGCCTTCCATTGTTCATATTTTGCTTTCCAGATCATCTGGTGAAAAAAACCTCAAGTGTTATCCATTAGAGGGATGGACATTGGCCTGGCTTTGCTACATCAGCAAATTGCCCCCTGCAGAACATGAGGGACCCCTTCACTCCTCCCAGTCCTTTTCCCAGCATTTATAAGCCCAAAATACGCAGGGTAAGCATACACATCGTTTGTTTTTAGGCCAATTTGGAACCAAGACTAGAGACCTCTTCAAATTATGTAGTCATTATTTGTCTTTATATCCCAACATTTTAATTGAATAAACCAATCAGAAATGCAATTTCCATTGATGGGGGTTATGAATGAAGAACCATTAAAGCACTTAAAAAAGCAACCATTATTAATGATTTAGTCCTTTGAGATTTCAATTCTTGACTGGAAAGAGTTTCCAGAAATCTTTATTATAATTATGCACATCATCAAACAGCCTTTCCATGCAAACTCCAATCATGAAAACAGAAAAATTTTGATTCAGCCCACATTTTTTCCATAAAATCACCGTTTTTTTATAGAATGCAGTTCCCATTAAATAGTAGTGTGTTGTGAGAGGAGTGTAGAATACAGCTAACATATGCAGTAAGATTGTAGCAAAAAAAAAGGAAGGTGTTTTATTTTTTTTTTAATTTTGTTATTCCTAAAATAAAATCTGGTTTGTCAGAAAGCTAAAAGAAATTTTGATTTTTAGTTTTGCAAAATTAGTTTGATTACTTACTCTCATGGGTGACTATGACAGAATAATAAGACACAATCACCACTGAAAGTAGAGAACACTAGTTGGAATACATGCTAATTAAAATCCATTTTTAAAAAATTAAATTCAATATAGAGAGTATTAGTTATTTGTTCTGAAGAAGTCTGAATAATTTTAGAAGGGGAACTGCTACAGGACTTTCAACTGCTTTATTTTCTTTCATGGAAGCCCACAAATATGTGAGAACACAGTGACTTTTGGAAAAACTGGATTTTCATTCCCCAGAACACAATGAGACCTAGTTAACAGCACGACACGCCTCTCTGCAGAACTATTCTTTTTTAATTAGGCTTCACAGTGCTGTTATGTAGGACCCATCTCAAAGAGTGAAAAGAGTAATGTGGTCTCCATCACCCAACCAACCCCTCATCTCTTACCCAAGTCTACCAAATAAAGAGGTGGTTACTTTGGTTACTCCACATCAAATGAGCTGAGATCTCCAGCTCACTTCTTACCAGGGAAGAGTTGCTTTAGTTTAAAATAAGAAGGAAAGTAATAAATATAAAGTTTAGCCCAAGAACCCAAAGACAGAAGAAATTCTCCTTTCAGGAGTTCCTGTTATGACTAATTCCAAAGAAATCTCCTGTCTTATCTGCTTTCTGGAGCACATGCCAATGCTATGGATTTCACATGTGAGCCATCAGCATCTCAAGACAGCATTTTCCCTTTGATGTCTAAATTATTAATAAATCTAATGTTTGTCAGCTTTGTCTCATGGTAATTGCTAGTCCATATCTATTTATCTGTTTGTCATAAGAAGATAATTTCAATCAGAATTCTTAATCCAGGACTGAAATTTTTAAAATAATGAATAAAATGAAAGCTTAAAACCAGTTTGCGTAACTAGAGCTAGAATTTATTACTCCTGAGAGAACAAGGATACAAAATACATGTGAAAACTACACAAAGATTTCTACAAAGTAAAAAGTAGAAAGTGGGAAAAGGGAAAGCTACAGCTCAGTGGTTACACAGAAACTTATGGCATGCATTAAAATATTGTAAATTCATGAAGTTTTTTTTAAGTGCAAATGGTTTTTTTAACAGTTCTCACTGAAAAATATGCAAATTGATACCTATGTTGTACACTTGACATATTATCAGAAAGACACCAACACAAATCTATGCATATATACATCAATATGTCTGAAGTACATTTTGTGGTTCTGTTATTCATAGGCACTGGTTACAAGTCCGTCTAATACTCAGTTTCAGAAATTAAGTGGTAGCGCTAATAGAACATTTCTCAGATACTACTAATAAAGGAACTGGCTTTTAAAATGCCAAGAGGATGAAGTAATTTGCATTGCCATTTATAAGCATCCAACAACCAAAGAAGTATTTACAAATCATCAACCATACAGATAAAGAACAGTATCAAATACTCTGTGTAAAAAGATAAATAATTAAAATGTATATTCCCACATCACAAAGAAATGTGATCATACAAATATGGCACCATATGTTTGTGAAACATCAAAAATAAATGTAGCACATAGATACCTCTTCTTGTATTTTACATTAAAATGCACAGTACAATGACTGTAAATGTCAATGTCACGACACCCATTGTCTTCAAATTCCTGTTTCTGGTAGTAGCAATTATTATTAGAGTCCGTGTTTATAAAGAAATTCCATACTTCAGCCTTGGGCTAATATTGCTCTGTGATATTGCTAGACCATGAAACTTACATCCTAAAAAAGTTAGATATTTTCTTTAAAATTATCTATTAGAAAGCTACTTGATACGTGAATATTCTGGGAGAAAGTGTGATATAGATGCAATCTATTTCTCTGTGTAGCAAAGTATGGGTTAAAAAAAATAACATTTTTATTTTCGTCACAAATATCAAATTTATTAGTGAAATATATCCTAAGTTGAGGCTTATCCCTTTAAAATTTTAATCATAAACAATACTGCAATTTTCAACACATAATTAGGGGTTTTGTTAAAGTACTTAAACTTCCAAACCCTAATCATGTATCTCATTATGAGAAATGGATCAGAAAATCTGGAACACAACAGTGCTATGGAGCTCAAAATGCTGATACCCTGTTTTGTACTCTGAGGGTGAATGAGATAATTATAGCACGTGGATGTATTTGAAAGGTTTGTCTGCATGTGGCCATTTATGGTTACATGCCAAATCCAAACAAAAGTACATTGTTAAAGGCAACCAGAAGTATTACAGTTATAACAGACTAAGGCAATTAAAATCTTTTTTCCTTCTTTTTTTCGTTAAAAAAAAAAAAAAAATTAAGGGGCAGAGAGAATTTTCTTTGCTGTTTTAATGGGTGCCAAATACTGATTAACAGTGCCAAGGAAAAGTAGTTTTACCCAAAAGGAAAGACTATTAAAATCTAGAAATACCTGAATTGGATCTTTGAAATCCAGATTTTTCCTGATTACCTGCAAAAGGAGTTGGGGGTGGATAGTTGGCTTCCGTGAGTTTACTGATGTCTGACAGTGGCGTTGGTGGTGGCGGTGGTAGCAAAGTGCTGTTAGGGCTACTAATATCTCCTTCAGCCACGAGAGTCAAGTCTGCCACATTCTCATCATCTACCATCTGAATGCCTTCAGCCTGCAACTCTCTCGACTGCCTTTTCCACACCGCGGCGTTGTTCTCCTGCGCGTGCGGAATTGGAGACAACGGAGGACTAAAAGGAACACTGAAAGTCTTCTGGCTGTGCAGTGCTGCCAAAGCAGACTTATGTTTGTTTTCTGAGTAACCCACTTTCTTTACTGAATTTTCATTAAAGTTTTGCACAGGCTCCTGTTTTCCACTGGGTGATGTACATCCATCACTGCTGTCACTTTTTGAAACTCGCTTGCCGAGGCCTTTAGGACCTGCGGGTGTAGATGAGGATGGTTCTGGTCCAGTGGGTGGTAAACGAAGAAAGTCAGGAAGAATAAGGTCTTCTTTCCTTAGCAGTCCACGTTGGTCATCTGCTCTGTTACTTTGTGCTTTGGATATGAGTTCAAAAAATTCTATTGGGGAAAAACCCAAAATTGACAAGTTTTTGTCAGAAAGTGCAATGCTATTAAAACGTACATTTTCAGCACATTTATTTTCCATGAAGATCTTCAATTCTTTCAATGCTGCCTTGAAATAAGATCCCATGTTAATTAGGAACTTTTTCAATTGCAGCAATGTTCACTAGCATCACTATAATTAAGACCATCAGCATTGCTATTGTAAGAGTTTTGCAGTTTAGAACAGCTGCAATTCACTGAGCCTTGAACACGTCTTCTATTTTACGCAGTTAATAAATCTGTACACACATGCAGGAATTTTTAATTCTTTATACAAAACAAGGCTCTAGTCTTACAGACAATGGGTGCACGTTTTTATATTCTGGATGGGTTTTACCCATCTTAACTCAAAAATAGCATGCCATTTGAACATTCAAAGATTCAGAATGTTGCAAACTTCCTTGTTATATTGACTTTCTCTCAGAGTAATTATATTTTATCACATTTTCAATTCAATTCATAGTGTAGTTTTAAACCAGGATGTTATCATCACAGGGTATGATCAGATGATGATTTAAGTAACCCCATTTTACATGGAGCTGCAGTGAATCAGTAGCTTACAGATAGTCTGTAACCATCCAAGGAGCCATTACCAAAAGCAATGGGGCAGCTTTTTAAAGAGGCTTTAACACAATTAGAAGTGATTTTCTGATCATGTCCCTAATGATATCCAATGGTTTAATATGTTTCTATAAATAATACTCATAGTAGATCAACACTGTTCTAAAAAGTTTCAAAACTTGGCAACAAGAAACTTATCAATTGTAAGCCAAGAATTATACCACTCCTCAAAAAAGAAGCATTGCAACAATAAACAAACTCTTTGGTACAAAACATAGACATATAAAAATATGTAATTCTTAATATAGGGTCTCTGCATGTCCTAATTTTTCAAGAAAGCACTTTAAATACAGAATATTAAAAGATGCTTAAAAAGGCCATCTCCAACAGATAAATAAAATCAACAGTTCCAACCCAGCTTATAAATACTGTTTGAAGCAAAAGCCATTAAGGAATACAGCAACAGAACATTAGTATCAGTTTTAACTTAGCATAATATGAAGTCATACACTTGCACTTGTATGACCTTATTCCTAAATCCTCTACTCATACTTGGCAGGCTTTGCAATGTATTCATAAAAATGAATTTTTAACATGCTTTTTCAAATGCTGTAAAATCTGAACGTAGCCAAGATGGAAGCTTCAAAATGCTTCTTATTGCCAAAGTTTTGCAAAATGGCAGTAGGCATATTAAAACATGCAACATTTTTAAGATGTGTCATACAAAAATGTTTCTGAAATTTCAAAGTTCATAGAACAGTTGTTTGTTTTTGCATTAAAAAACAGTCTACAACATTTGGTATGCATTTTCCAAACTTTGACAAATATCACAAAACTCAAAATAAAATGTGAAAGCCTCGAATTCTGAAGTTTTCAAATTATGTTAATGTTTTACTCAGTCCTAGGAAAAAAAATGAAAGTATTAAAATGTGGAAAACAAGCCAACAAAAGAGTAAGCAACAGAAAATAATTTAAAATGCCCTAATATTTTGTAATAACACTTATATGAAAAAACATATATTTTGCATTAGAAGTTTTTGCCATAGCATTCTTTTTTCAGTTCTAGTCAGTGGACATTTATTCACAGATGAACATTCAAAGGTAAACATTCATTTGCTGTTTAAGTGTGCATAACCAGGTTTTGGATATGCATACGGGGTAACTTCAGCAGTAGATTTTAATCTGTGGGTCAAATATGTCCTTTGAGGTTTTTTTTTCTACATAGGAAAATAGGGAGGAGCGTGTAGGGCTGACAGACAGGTAATCAATTCAGTTCATGTCCTAGGGCACGGGGTGTTATGCCAAAATTTCTAGTGCTACATCATTTTCATTTCTCTTTTGCCCATGGACATCTTGCTATAAGAAAGCAAATTCTCTCATGAGATTTTTTCTGATGATATCACCAGAACTATTAAGATGTAACAAAGGTAAAAATAGGACTCAGAAAATGCAAGATGACCAACAACCTCTTGGTTTATTTCTACTTCTAAACACCTTTTGGTGAATGCAAGTTTTTCTGTTGCCCATCACGTCTCCTCCACAGCCAGACTGCCCTGCCCTGGCTGTTACAGAGTTCAGCAGAAAACTTACAAAAATTCTTACCTGAGTACATTTGGGTCTACACTACTGTGCAGTGCCTGTCAAACACTTGTATAAAGGTGAACAGAAAGCCAAGCTTCTATGCAGCTTACAGAGTATCAAATGGGATGTTCAACTGCAGTGGAGTAACTAATTCCTTTTTATTTTGCAGGAATTAGGTACCCCTCACTTTTGAAAATCCCACTGGACACCTACACCGGTGTTTAGGTATTCTTAAAATTTTACCTTCCACTTATGAAAACTTGACAATTCAAACACACCAAACAAAAATATAATGGTCAAGACTATGATTTTCACAACACAGCATTAAACACAGGGTACCTACACAGACACAAAATTTTTCTAAGACTACTTATGTTAATATGTAAGCTATAAAGTTCACATACCCTCTGCTTCATCCAAATTTATTTTCTGACTTTTTTTTTTCCCAATCTTTGCAATAGAGTCTTCTCTCTTTGACAGCCGGACTTCCCTAGCATTTTTTCCATTTTCGCCTTTCATTTTGATAGAATTAGACTTTCCTAGAGTTCTTCCCTCTCCCTGCATTAGAAGGAAAGTTAAGGTACTACTTACAATCAGGCTCTATCATTGTATACATAATATGGCCTAAAGGAATGAGGAAAGGTATTTTGGAAACACATTTCTCTAACACCACGACAAATGCCTTAGTTTGGTCTTGATCATGGCAAAGAACATTTGCCATAGCAGTTGCCAAAAATGTAGATATAGATATAATATTGTTTACTCTAAAGAATTCACATGACAGAAATGGCCTCTGAACTACAAAGTAGTTCAATTATTTTAAAACATAGATAAGTCAATGTGACACGAAACAACAAACACAACACAGTGAAAGAGTTAACTGATTCATCATGAAGACAAAGTTCTTCACAAATAAATGCTGTTGACAGTGGAAAACTATCAGACAGAGAACAGCTATATTCAATCTAGTTACATAATTTGGCCGATTCAAAACCGTGCGTGAATGCAGCCTTTGATACAGAATTCTAGAAGGAAACAGAAGATGATCTAATGGAGAAAAATCGTTGCAGAAGACTTACAGTAGATCCTTGACTTCTTGAAGAAGATACAGTTGCAGTCTGTTTTACTAATACGCCTCTTTGTTTCTCTGTAAACATTGAACATAAATATACTTTCTGTAACTACTGATTTATAATTCCCTAAAGAAGCAAAATTTAAGGGACAATGATGGACACAACAGATTTTTGCTTTAAAATCACTCTAATGTGTACTCAGAAAATAAAGAGTGAGAGCAGTTGATAACCCTGATAGTTTTCCTTAGAAACCTACCAGAATCTGCCTCCCATCTTCAGATTTTCCTCACACTGGCATTTTTTTTCAAGTTAAAAGATGCTGAAGTCTCACTTATGTACTAAATTTTCAGTTGCTTTAGATGAAATAATCGTAAAATCTGATAATTCAGTTTGCAATTCTCAAAATTATAATTTAAAAAAGAAAGAAAATCAGCAGAAAAGACCATTGAAAGGCCATGTTGAATCTTTTCCATCCTGTTTCACACATCAATTATTTTGTAGACACTGCTGTATCCTCCTTGCGATCTTCTAAGTAACAAAAAGCCTCCATCAAATTAAATCTGCCTACAGCAAATTTAGTAACACAGAATCATTGCCCTCTTTCACTGGTACATTGCCACAGAACCACTGCCAGAATGATCCTCTGTGATACAGATGCTGGCAACACACTGGATTTAGGCTTTACTTGTAATCTTTAAACTAATTATTTGTGAAAGTATTTAGATTAAAACTGTTTTTCAAAACAAAAATCGGTTCTGTTGGTTAGAAAAATGACAAACCTGATTCTCCTCAATAAATGCCTCCATCTTTATAATCCCAATTTTTCCTCGAAGAGGATCTCAGCTCTAAGTCTATTTAATTTAACCATATCTAATTAGGTTTTTGAAAATAAGTGTTCGATATCTCTAAAAAGGTCTCCTAATGAAACCAAATCTTTACTCATAAGGCTGCTTACATTAATCTAGAGCATTAATTGTGCCAAGAGATTGTAAACTGTTTAGCTGATACATTTTTTTTTCCAATTATGTTGCATAGGGTCATGAGTTTTTATCCTTTTTGGTGTTATTTTCAGAAATCATCACTTAAAATTGGAGAAGTAGGCTCTGGAACGTTCTCATTCTTAAGAAGGATATTATGATAGAAGCATATACAGCTGCTGTACAAACTGCATCTGCTTTCCTTACACAGAATGTTCCTTACTGAGTAATTGCCAAATGCACAGCAGGTATTTGGCACTTTATTCTCATTATTGTTACTGGGCACTATGTTCCTAAGTTTGTGTGTGGATCTGTGGTTGAGTGCAAACAAAAAACTCATATATTATTACAGCAAAATTTCTTACAGCAACAGTAAAAGTACCTGCTATCACAGACTAAATTAATCTTCAATCTTCAGAAACTGCACTGCTTTTTAGTTAAAAAGAATATATGCCACACATGATATACCTAAATTTAATCACATTTACCTCACCTTCACAGCAACAGGAAAAACTAACCATAGTCAGGGTTTGTAAAACTGGCTTGGAACCATAAACAAAAGCTTTTATACAAACTTACCTCTACCCTTTGATGGCTCTTTTTCATCTAGAACAACCCGCTGACCATCCAGATTAGATATAGGGACACCAAGATCAAGGGGTTCCTGCTCACCACTCTAAAGTCGGATCACAGTTTGTATGCAATAGAGAAAAAGCTGTTTTCAGAACAAATTTATGCAGTCTGACATTTTTGAAAGAAAACAAGTAAAGCATTTTTATGCTTCAGAGTAGTTTCAATCTATCCTTCTACCATTCTAAAGATGTTTACTCCAGTGGTGTAAAACTACCTAGATTTCAATGAGTATAGTCCTATTCTGTGAGAATATTTGGGAAAAAAAGATACATAAAGGAAAAAAAATCATCCAATTTGTAAGTGTGCTCAAATACTCAAGCACCATTAGTGTGTATATTCAGCAAGTCATGTTTTTGAGAGGACACTTTAGATTTTTTTTTATTCTAAATTGATTGTATTTCATTAATTTTGTAATTTCATTAACTGAATTACCTTTATACCAATATGCTTTTCAGTTATCTTAAAAACTTGGACTGGTTCAGCTAAGACAGCATACATACTAGAAATACCACAAAATTAACTTTACATTCCTAGGTATTCCAGCACAATAGAAAGGAGAACATGCCTAGCCAAGAGTTCAGTAGCAGAGAAGTTGAATCAGTCTGCTTTCACAAAAAAAAATCTGCAAGGGGATTTGTGGCAACTTTAATGATTCCCAGGACAATGGAACAAAAGCTTTAATCCAACCAACTTTCCCTGGCTAATAATTGGAGTTGAGCTCTGGAAGAAGCAAAGTTCAGGCTTGCTTATTTTGGATGTTGGATTTCTTCTGAAGAGAATAAAAACAGATGTAGACTAAATATTTGAGGTAACTACTGCTAAGCATAATGGTTATAATTACAATGCATTTTATCTAAAAATGTAGCTGTAGATATTTAAATGCCTAATTGTCTGGAGAGGAATCATTCCAGGGACTATCATATGATCTTCTCCAGACAGAAAATATTGCTGCTGCTTGAATTACATCAAAGAATACTTACTAGTCTTGCCACAAGTTCATTAAGATTTAAACCATATTTTGCAACAACAGGCCTTAAGACCTCTGTTACTGGTTTGGTGGGCTTCGCCTTCAGACCAACTGACCGGTTGATAGGAACAAGATCCAGCCTGAAACACAGCAATTGTAACATCAAGTGTGAAATATTCCAGTAAATAAAGTGAACAGAAATATGTCAAATCCAATTATCTACAACATAGTTGTACCAATTTACAGCTAGTAACTAGCTGGAACTGCAGTATGAATGTATGCTAAACTGAAACGACAAGGAATTTATTATTTTATATTTCTTTATTTATTATTCTATATTTATTATTACTTATATTTAACACAAATAAAAATTGTACTGTTTCGCTTCCCAGAGCCGAGTGCAGGCCTGAGCCAGTCTATTTCAGACCAAGGAAATGCATTCCACAGCACTTCCATATTTACAGGGAGATTTCTCTGACCAGTTTGGTCCAGGAGTCCTTCCAAAGTGACTCCATGCCTGAACTATAGACTTGGATGCAAGAAAAATATTTCTTCTCAGTTCCACAAGACAGACTCACAACTTGTTATACAATTACACGAGATGGATTTGGACAAGTGTTTTCATTTTTAAGCAGACTAACAAACACTGTGGAAATGTACATGATCTACTTCTTTAGGGTTGGTGCCATCATATGATGAAATATCAGTGTAAGAGAAACTTGTATACCAGAGCTGAAAAATTAACTTAGAATTTACAGGCTAAAGCTCTTTTCACAGTCTATTTTATATTTTGCATTATTAAACCAGTAAAAGAATAATGAAATACTTTTTTTTTTTTTAATTAAACCAAAAAAACTTTCATTAGCATCTATTTCCCTGCACAGAGCTGTACCTAGCTTTGGTTTGGTTTTGGCTTTTTTTTTTTAATGGTCTTCATCTATCCCCTGAATCCTCCATAAGGCTCATTTGATTGCAATGGTACTCTAGTATGAAATCAAGGACAAGCTTATTGCTAACAAAACAATCAGAAGAAATGTACATCATCCTCAGATATTACTATTATCAGCAATTTTTTCAGTCACAATTAAATATAAAACTCATGTTTTATCTCATAAAAATTAAACACAAGACATTAAGTCATGTTGACTTTTCCACAAGAAGTTAGAATAACTGGAACTTTGTCTTTCATATTTTCTTTGAATTCAACAGCTACTAAATTGAAATGATCCATTTTAGTCATTAGCCAGTAATTGATACAAAAGTGGCAAACACTGAGGTAACTAAGTATACCCACACAGTATTTCCCCATTGTCTTAAAATGTTCCAAATATTTGACTATATTTGCTTACATAGTATCTACCCAGAGAATGGAACAATGTAGAACATTTCTACATTTTAATTAACACACAAATAACATATGGTACTGCCTACTTAAAGTTCCTTTTTTAACTTGGAGACTCAACAAACACACCTAATAAAAGACTGCTCAATCTCAATCTAAAAATTGAATATGCCATGTAGTATTTATTAACCTGAAGTAGCTTTAAATAGAAACTAGCCCAGCTTCCTAAGGAAAAGTAATATAGAGCCAAAATAAGGAATGCCTCACAAAATAAACTTCATTCACTTCAGAAATCCAGGTCAGTAATGTAATACATTTTACTTCAATACTTATTCCTGAAATAATTATTTCAGGAGTTTTCATAGCATTAGTTTGGACTCATTTTGGAAAAAAATACAAATATTATTTTGAAAAAAAACACAAACTATCAAATATATTACACAAAACTAAACATACCATGTACTGCATTATATTATACCCATACTAATAATTTAACATTGACTTGTTTAAGATTCAGGGTTCATCAGAGGATTTTTTTTTAATACAATTAGTTTTACTGTAATTTTCCAGGTGGGCATATATATACAGATATAACTGAATGGGAACAGGTCATCAATAAATATATCCATTTAATTTTAGCAATAGGAGTCTCACAGTGCAATTTCCATATCTTTCTTGTGCTACTCCAACCCACTAAACATGTCTCTTTCTGATGTGGAAGGTCCCTCTGGACCCACAGATCTGCCCAGTGCTTTCACAGCTGCCTCAGCTTGAGCATTTTGACATCACAATAATATTTAAATGTCCCTAAACTGAAACACTGGCATCAAAATCCCACTTGTATCCTAAGAGCCATCCAGAAAGCCCCCTCCTGCAGCTGCACAGCCTCCTGTTTCACTGAACAGGTAACCAGCAACATATCCTTTACTGCACTTACAAAAAATAAAATGGGAAACAGGGTGGGAAAGGCCAGAGGAAGACATTACTTTGGACTCTTACCGAAATAAAGTGCGTTTTTCTAAGCGCAGGTCCCGAGACTCCAGGATACTGCTGTCCTGGTGCAATACCAGGGGCTACAGAGCACGTCAGGGATAAAAGAAGAGAGAGCAAATTAAGTTTAAGCTATGTAAAAAAGAGCAGCTGTGTTGTTAATTTTTTTAAGGTAACTCAGAATATTATTAATATAGGCTGCACTCAGTCTAGTGACTGCTCCTTTACAATATGGAACATGATTAAAGCGTGTTTTCTTTTTGGCTAGGCGTGAAACAATGACCAAAATTCAATTTCCACTGGAGTCAGCAGGCATTCAGGAACTTGGTTTTTAAAACAAACCTAGATTCTTCAACTTACATAAATAACACAGAATAATGCATTAGGAAATACAGCCAGCTAACAGTCTTTGAAAGCTTTAGAAGAAAAAGCCCATAACTATGGACATTCATTGATTTTTGCCTGCATTGTAATCATCTAGACAGATCAAAAGCATGAATTTAAGAGAATAAATACTTCATGTCCATGGCTTCTCTTTGAATTGGAGAATATTTCTGTTGGACTAAGAGCCATCACACACACACTGCACCGTCCACACAGATTGTTGTCTTGGAAGTTTTCCTCAATATTAAAACCTGTTCGTCATTTCTAGCATTAATGCACCTCATTCGTCTTTGACCAACTGAATGTCACTGTGTTTTAGGGCTTTAATGCAGCAGCATCTACTACCAGACATTTGTTTTCTTTGTGGACAATTCGATTCTCCTTCAATTAACCAGCACTGCCAATGTAAAGCTATGGGCAGAACCAGGAAATATGCACCAGTATGGAGAGAACAGAATTCCTTATTTGTAAAATGGGGAGGAAAATGCTTCCAAAAAAGCCCAGGAATATGCAGTACCTTATCACCTCCAACTAGGAACAGGTCCACTGCAGCTATGTTGATGCCATGTTTCTCACAGACCCCAGAGAGCACCTCCTTGATGGAGAACCCCGATTTCACAGGCATTTTGCTCGATGAGCCATCCGGAAGGTTTACACAGCAGTACTTGGGGGATTTGTCTTTATCTGGCACAAATGCAGGCAACCTTGAGGTCTCAGACTTGAAAGGAAAAAGAAAGGTCAGTGCCCAATGGGAAATTTAGGACTGGGTATAAACTTTTAGAGCCCGCACAGATTGAACCAAGCCAAGAGCCATAGTTTCTACCATGCTTTAGAAATCCTTCCAAATATCACAAATATCAGATAAATTTAAATCCTGGGGGAAAAAAATCAGATAAAGATCATAATACTGCACAAATCTAAATTTATTTCAAGAGCAGATGAAGTTTTACACAGCAAGCGTGTAAAACAGTTACAAGACTTACTAAAGAACTCCTAAGTAAAACTATAAAAGTAAATTAAATCTCATTAAGCATCCAAATAGTTAAATGTCTGTGCTCGGTAATGTCCTGCTTATGTAAAAATTACCACTGGCACCCTATGAATCAACATTCAAGTGAAGAGGAATGCCTTTAAATATCAGGTTCCTCAATCTTTCCTCTCCAAATTTCCTCTTCTTTCAACATAATACGAATTCTATGCACAAATACGCACAGAGAAATTAAATTTTTAAAATTATTTTCTTCATGACCATTAATTGTTTTTATTAAAGGGAATTAGAACTACAATGCTATGGGCTAGGCACTAACCTTTATTCTAGAGTGACAGTAGAATAGTAATACTACAACTAAATATCAAAAGTATCTTTGAAAATTTAAACAAAAGCTCACTTATAACTTAAAAGGACACTAAAAAATACTGGTTTTGACAGCCTTTTAGGGTACTCATCATGCTTTTTCTCTTTTCTTTAATTTGGCACTTCTCATTCAAATCACAGTAGCTTCTGAATTAAATCAGAGTGAGGAGTGGGAGAGAAGTGAGGGGTTGTTGCTTTAGGGTGGCTTTGCATTTTCTATTTTTTTAAGACAAGACTTTTCTGCAACAGAAACAAACACGACTTCACTATGCTTGTTTCCCTGATCAGTATTTTTAGCATAGATAAAATTACTGTTATTAGTTAATGGTTAATTACACAGAATCTAGTCTACCAGAGGGGCATCAAAAGCACAAAAAAACTTTACAATTTCCTTTTTTTAGATTCTTCCTCCATATCAACATCGATAAATAAAGCATTACATCTATGTTTTATTAATACTGTTTTAATTTTGCACCTCAGTTTTACACTGTGAAGGCAGAACTTGATGGTTAGAAATCACAGTGCCTTCATTCTTAATTTCTTAACATGGCAAAGTGTTCACAACAAACTTCTCAGGTATTTAGGACCGAGTTAAGTCATAATGACGAAAACACACAACTTTAAAGGAAACAGAGAAGAAGCATTACAGACACTGGCACAACAAAAATCAACCTAATGTGACTTGCATCCCCCTTACTGCATAGGCCAAGAAGAGGAAAAGCTTTAACTTGTGGTTGTTTAAAACAGATTCTCATCCTTGCAGGTAGAACCAAGTGGTTTTAAAGAGCTACAGTCTTAACAAGGGAAACTTTCTGTAGTTCACTGATGTGAAGACAGACCAGATCCAAAGCATATCCAAGGACAGCATAAGTAGTAATATACAAATGCAACATCTCTTGCATTTCTAACACTCTGAAATTGCCTAATATTACATCTTGTGCTGCAGCTGTATCACTTGAAAACCCTTTCCCAAGGCATTACATCAAACAAGCTACCTCACACTACTTAGAAAATCAGTAATTCCCTGTTTCATCTGCTCCCCCACTGGCTCATTAGTAAGAGGCAGCCATTACCAAGTCGAGACTAGCAGTGGATGACATGGAGCCTTGTGATTCCCGTCTGTAGGACAATCCATTGGACTGAAAAGAATCTGTTTGTGCAAAGAATCAGCAATCAGTAAAGAGGCTTATTTCATTATTTATTCTATCACAGACAACTATTTCAAATACTAGCTTATTGGGCCACAAATGTTTCTTTTTTAATTAAAAGAAAAGAAACCACCAAATCTTCATACTGCTCACAGAAGCATGGAAACCAAAGCAACTTTTGGTCAAATGCTTCTTGGTTATGTAACCCCTGAATAAACCCATTTGTGTTATATTTAAAAAAAAAAAGGGGAAAATATTTTTATAAAAATATTAGTTAACTAGATTTAATAAGATTTCAATATTTCATCTTAAAAAATTATTCTACCTCTGCAGGGAGATAAATATTTTTTAAAGTGCAAGTATGGTGTTAGAAGACTAAAATCTAAGGCAATTACTAGTCACTTTCAGAAGGCAATGTCCATGATGTCAGCAAATGCCTCTGATGTGTTTTCACATATGAATATACTAAGAACACCCAAATTATCCATACGATCAAAGCTATCTTATGGGTCTGGCATTACCAGAAGCAAAAACTACATCATCAAATATGGACCAAATTTGGCACTTTGCTTGAATTTCTTCATTATTTTTAGCTCAACAAAATAATTTACTGCAAAACTTTTGTCTCCTCTAGAGATCACATACAGGTGCTTTCATAAGGGAACTCTTCCTTAAACTCTCAAACACAATTAAGTAACAAAACAGCAGGTTACAAGGGCTTTCACACCTCTGAGTCTCCTTTTTCATTTTAGTCAGGGAAGGTGAAAACAGATGGTGACTGTTCAAAAGTGAACATACCTGTGTGTTACTGATAAAAGAAAGAAAAGTAGGATAACACAGATGGAGGAATTTTTAAATAGCTATAACTATAGCACTATTTGCTGTACTGCTCCTGGACTTTTCTGTAAAGATTTGAAATGATCTTTCTATAAAAATAGCAGCTCTCTGCTTGAAAAAGCAATTACTAGTGCACAGAAAGGCAGAATGTTCCAAAACATTAAAAAAAAAAAAGTCTTGTGGAAGTCAGTAAAAACAAATTTAAATATTGTCATATTTTCATCTATTTACTTGTACACCTTGCACAAAACTGCAGCAACAATATGGCCTTCTGACTTGACAGCTCCTTTCCTCTGTCACTCGCAAGAATGCACTGAGATAGCAACTAATCATGGTGAGATTAGTCATATCTATTGCTGAAACAACCTGGAAACAAAGCAGAATGTGATACTCACCGTTTGGATAATCACCATTTTCTCTTCTTTTCTGTGATTTTCCCAAACTCTTACTTCTTGACCATGAGAAGAATGTTCCCCTCTTTTTCTTCTCAGTGTCCTCCTCTCCTGACTCTTCATTTAAAGATCTTCCTGACTTTGACTTACCACTTAGCTATCACCAAAACACAATTAAATCACTGGTTGGATCACAGGTGTGAGTATATTGTTTAAAATAAACCTTCCCACACTTCTTCCTAAAACAAGAGTGTGATGGCCAGGTTAGCTGCCTTCTTTACCCCACGCACAAGTGCCTGTGCCAGCATCCCTCTCAGCAGCAATCAAAACAAACCTCATCAGTGGCAACAAAAAGAAATACAGAGATGGAAATATGCTGCTTGGTAGGGAGTACAAAACAGTAGCTGGAAATGAGCCTTGGAGAGCTCATATGAAAGAGAGCAAATATGAAAGAACTGTCCCCAGCTCACCAGTAAAGCCTAAGCTAATGTGGAAAGGCCATTTTCCTTCCTTTTAAAACACTGATTTTCACTTTGGTATTTTCCTAGGCTAGGCTTGAACATGAACAGCTTTCAAAGACAATGACAAAGTACTGTTTAACATTTACAAGTATAATCAAGTATTTATTAGAGTTGAAGAATACAAATGTCAGGAATGTTTGATATTAAACTAAACTTGCTTTTAACAAGCTAGTATTCTTGTTAGATTATTAGAATATTCCTTGAAATGCTACTTTTTAAAGGTTCCTAGTCACAAGAATACATAATGGCAGATGGGGTAATCTGTAGTGATTGACATGAAAAATGAGAAGTTATAATTTACCCATACAGTTATGTAATGCTATGGTGGTATTATCTACAAGAAGAAAAAATAAACCCTAAATAATGTCAAGGGATCAGTCAGTAAGACTACTGGTCTAATTTTTAAGCAACTGTACTTGTTTAACACAGAATTATCTTAGTTTAATAGGACGTAAGAAATTAAAAACTATCCTCTGCCAAAATGAGTTAGTTTGGATTAAGCCTTCTCCAAAACTTCTGATAGAATGTCTCTTCTCAGCAAAGGTAAATTATCACATCCTAATTCCCATATTCAAACAAAATAAGCTTCTGAACACATGCATTAACAAAATAGCCCTTACTTTTTATTTGTACACATACAGTTAAATAATAATGAAGATTTTAAATTATGTTCAGCAATTCAGTATCTAGAAAACTGATTCAAAGGCAAGGATAAAAAAATAAGTATATTCCTGAGTACATAAAATTTTGCAATTGTATTTGCCAGCATCTCTAACCACGCATTTTAATTTTACTTTATATGTTATCTTTGATTTTCTAAAGAACTTGAAAAACATTACTTAAAAGCACAGTTTTGTGATAACAACAATGCAAAAGTCACCTTTTTTGGTGTTGACATGTTGGACTTCTCTGAACTGACGCTGTGTTTAGAGGTGGGGCTGCTGGGAACACGCTGAGGATCAGGAAGAGGACGTCCTTCCACTTCAGCTAAGATGCATTCTTGGTAAAGAGGGGACTTCAGGAAGCGAGTATAGCTATCGAACTTCATCAAGTTAAATATCTGAAATTAAACCACAATGCTTAATGGGTACACACATTCCAGTAACACATCAAGACAATGAAGCTACTTTGCAACAGGAAATTCCCATCAAATTTAGGACATCAGGCTGTAAACAGCATAGGTATGACATTGGTTAGACCTGGCTAAACACACTGCACCCATTTTAAAGTGAAATATAATTTTATCTATTCTCTTATTACAGGTTCAGAAAATAAGTTATGATTTGTGCAAACTGCAAGCTGAGATGCTGTAGAGTCTTGACAACACCATCCTCTTTTACTGCGTTGATGCCATTCTGTGTGGAGCATGCAGCAAGCTGGCCATGTAAAACATTTTAAAGGTTATTACACTGGCACTGTATGTGACAGGATTAAGTTACACAAGTGTGTTTTAAGGTAGCTGTGAACAAGAAAAGTTTATGTTCTAAAACACACAAGTATGATATAATCACAATTTGCAATAATACACAATGATACAAGACACACAAAGTAAATTGCTGATGTGAGGAGAAGCTGAGAGTCCTTTGCAGCATATACAATGCTCAGAGTCACAGAATCATTTAGGATGAAAAAGACCTCTAAGATCACCACATGATTAACCCAGAGCTGACAAGTATTAACAGTAAACCACAGTCATGTGCCCAATGATAAAGAAAAAACCCATCAGTATCTCTGGATAATTCAATAATCAAGGTGCTGTAGATCTCAACAGAAAACAGTTTACATTCAGTGATCTTTAACCACATAGGAAGAAAGCAGATCTATATCAGGCAAATATCTGAGGGTGATTTAACCAAAGCTAAATTTATGAAAGTGAAAAAGAGCTTTTTTTAAAATGCTAAATAATGTTTAACTTTTTGTTCCATTTTTGCAAACCTGCTGTTTTAAGTGAATCCATACTTTTAGCTCTATATCTTCTCCCGTGGTTCAGTTCATCTGAAAAATCAGTATGAATGGCTACTTCTTTGGACATGACAAATTCCCCACAAGCAAAGGAAGGTAGGCACCACCCAGCAGGTTCTGGCATTCCCAAGAGTATAAAGGAAAGTCCATCACTGAGTGGCCCATTTGCAGATGGAAACCACACTTCAGACTGTGCAGACACACCCTTCTCAACAGGCTTTAGCCCAAAACTTATCTTGTAAACAGCAAGCTAGAGCAGAGAGAACTTGAATCTACAGAGTCACAGAAACCTAACTCAAACTGAATGCCAACTTCCATGGTTTTGACTTTCCCCTTTGTATATTCCCATTCCTGCTTAGGTGCTGCCTTTTAATGCACCGTTTTCCACATGCTAAGCTATGGAAAAATATTTCTGCATATGCTAGCTTTGACCATCTGCAAATTAAACATACTTAACAGAGCAAAAAAATTACAACCTTTTAACTTTGCTGGACAGAGTCATGAGAGAGTAACTAATTTACCTTGAGCTGATTATCATCTGCCCCATGTTTCAAGCCCACACTACATCCATGATTTCCTATATTTAGAATTATTATCATATTTACACATCTTAATGATTTCTGCTTATTGAGAAAAGGCTAGCAGATGCTAGCTCTTGTTCTTAAAAATGAGAAACATATATTTTAAAAGGGTAATCTGAAATTTTCAAATAAACAAGAGTAGAAAAACTTCCATTATCAATTCTACAGGAAGTACATGCTAAGTTATTCTTATTTTAGTATGTTCCAGTGACCTACATTGTCCTCCCTCCAGAAACACTGAAAATGCTTGTTCTTATTCAATTTACAAAGAGGAACAACATCCTAACTAGGTACTTTGGCTGCATCCACACTGCCATTACAACCTCTAACAACAAGATCACTGACAAATTTGTCAGGACATGGATGAAAAGCAACTTTCAGGGGTATTCCCAACAGGCAGTACTTGAAAAGAGAATGGCCTGAGTGTTTCCAAAGCACTTTCCCACACACTTCTGCCACTCCTCTGCAGCCTTACAGCAACATTCCCCATTCCCCAGCGTCACACTCATCCAACCACCACCACAAGGCAGCACCCTTGCACCCTGTGGTCAGTGCTCAAATCTAAAAAATCTTGTGAAAGACCACAAAGGCAGAGCTTTCACTTTATTAAGGTTGTGTCACCACCATGAGCTGAACTTTGAGAGTCTGTGGGTGTGTTGCAGTAACTAGACAACCCACAGCTTTGTGTTCTCAAGTAGTGCCATCTACCAAGACCACAAACTGGCCTGCAGAACCACTCCCTGAAACCAAGAAATTAAGGGCCACCAAGCAGCTGATTCCCCAGCACTGACCTCAGCCAGGCAACACACCACCAGCACCTTAGACAAGCTCCAAGGCCATGTCCTGCAGCAGAAGGAACTCTCATCCTGCCTCACTTCATTTTTCAGTGAAGGGCATGGGTCTGACTGAGGGATCTGACTGGGGCACAGACAATATGAGATAAGGGTCAGCTACAGAGAGACGTTGTGGCTGGGACTGGACCCACAGCAGGACTTCTCATGAGAGTTTTCTCCCTCATTATGAGCCCTCCATCTAAAAATACAGCATTTTCAAAGCGACAAAACCCGCATCAGCCCTGTCACCTGACTCATCAAGACACCCTGTACTCCACCAAACAAATGGGAGAGGATAAGGAGGAATTCAGGCACAGTCTCCACAACACCAGGATGACAAATGCATGAAAAAATGTCTGGGAAGGTGGTGACTGGTAATTCCCACAGAAGGTTCAGGCTTGGGAGGTGCAGAAGGAGTAGCTACAAAGCTGGAAGCCACCAGACCAGCAGTCAGACCTACCTTTCTATCTCCACTTTGCAGGAGGATGACACTGCTCAGATCTGCTGCTCAGATTGCCCAAAAGCACGTGGTCTGAGATTGTGTCCCAAGACTGTGGCCTGGTTCATTAAAGCTATGGCCTTGATTTCAAAATGATGATATAAAAACTACTACTAATAAACTGGTAGGATGGAAGAGTTACCAAAGAGATGACTTAGGAAAAAAAAAAAAAACCTAGAAACTTAAATTCTATAGGAAACGTAAAGTGTATCCTGTTGTTGCATAACTGTTCTGATTATTAATAATTATTTAAAATACATCCACTTCAGAGGTCTTCAGACTCCAACAGTTCTATAATCTCTTTGCCTGACAGTAGTACTAAAGCCTAAGAGAAGAACTTCCTTAACACAACATTTTAAAAACCAAAACTAGACACTATTTCTGTACTCAACTCTCCACTAAAGAAAAGCAGCCATATGCAAACACTCTATCAATGGTGCAGCAACACATGGAATTATTTACTTGCACTAAACCCCCATTTCAATAATAGTACTTTTCAGATTATTTTTTAGTTAAGTGAAAATTTTCTCTCCACGTAACAGAAAAACAGCCAAGCAGCCTTTTTTCTATTCTTCTAACAGAGTCTAAATATACAGCATGTAAAACTATTTTTATAGATTATAAAGGAAAAGATAACAGACAAAAACATAGAGCATTCATGGTTACTATGGTTACCTGAAGCTGCTGTTCCTTGAACATATCTGGATGGGGAGAATTGAGAATATCATCTGCCAGCTGTGCCTGGCTGTCAATATTAACTGGGGTTGTAGCTTTGCTACACAAGAACTTACTGAAGATCTCCCGAGCCCTGTAAGAAAGCTACAGAAAACAAATGCTAAATGTATGTTGGTTTTAAACCTGTATTTTTAGCTAGGCATTTTTACACTGATATATTCCACCCAAAAATAGATAGCCACTCCTGAATCTTTTATATATGTATTTTTCATATAATAGCTTTTGCAAGTTTTAAGCACATAAATAGGGTTTTTTCTTTATGATTACAAGTATTCATCAAATATTTCTTGAACAGTAAAAGTTGTCCTCCAAATAAAAATTAAAATAATCAAGCAGTGAAGCACAGCAAGTATTTTTTAAAAGGAGAGCAGATTTTTTTTAGATTTTTTAGGCCTTTTACATAACAGTTACTATTTAAATACATCCTCTAAGATTAAATTTCTAGAAGTGAGAAAAAGGTAAATATATATATGAATATTTACAGTCAAAACCACTCATTTTTAACTTATTTATTTGAAACACCCACATCATGAAAATAATGAAAAACCCACCAAGCTGCGCCCACAGCCCTTAAGGGTGGTGTTCAGAAAATACTTTGTTTGAAGACAGAAGAAAGAAGAAGAAGAAAACCTCATTAGTAGACAAAAGAGTTAAGAGAGACTTGGAAGGTGAAACTGTTTTCACCACATAAATCTGACTAGATCTGGCTGTGGTGTAGACAGAAGTGTTGCCAACCTGTACAAAGTTCAAACTTCACCCAAACTGCCTGACCAATGTAGGATTCCCTCAAAAGGATGAGATGGAGAGTCTCATAATTTGTGAACAAACATGAGAGCCCTGCCCTTTCAGCAGCAGATAATTAAGTTATTTAGAAACCCAGTCTTGCTTGGTGGAGGCAGTGTAGCTCAAAGAGTCTAAGAGTCTCTCCTTGACATGGTCAATTAACTTGCTCTGCACTTCCATGCACTGGGCGACCACTGCTGGCCATTTGCAACACCCAGGATACCTCACCTCATTCTTACAGAGCTACCTCTGCAGTTTGAACATATCCAACATCTTAAACTTAGGTCATCCCACCCTATTTTAGTGATGTCACAGTACACAGACCAAGCACAGCTCCATTAATTTCAATAATCTTGAAGGAGTAATAATTTTTGAAGAAGCAACACAAGGTACATTGACTTACCTCTTTTTTATCATGTGCAGGTACATGGTTAAAATATTCACAGGCCTGCCAAAATAAAATATTTTCTTCACTAAATTCTTTCCGTAGAAATTCCTAGAGGAAAAAATAAGCAAATAAATAAATGTCTCAAAGAAAAGTTACTTGCCAGCTTAAACAACGCATATATAATGCTTGGAAAGTTTGCATAAATGTAAGTTTTCAATCAGTCTCAATCCAGGTCTTTTCCAAAGCAAAAATCAATATATGTCCAATACATACCTGGTGTTCCCCCTCTTTCTCCTCGCTTTTTAAATGTATATTTAAGAAGAATACATGAACTTACAATCAAATCATTTGCAAGTACAAAATTTGAAATGTCATGCCAAGTAGTGCATAAACTGGTGAATACACTTTAAATAAAAATTTAAATAGTATATAAACTAGATTCAAAAGTGACACTGTAAACTGTCTTTAATTGCAGTTCTACTGATATAAGAGAGTAGATGTTTATCAAGATGTGCCCATAATCAATCCTGGATTCATTACAGTGTCTTTTTGTATCACATGGGAATTTTTTTTTTTTAAATCTATCACTGTTCACTGTGTTTGATGTATTTTCTCTTTGGAAAATACTCACTGAGAGGAAAATAAAATATCCCCCAGTACAACACACCATAATTGATATTACAGCATCCTAAAGTCCAAATGAACACTGGTACTGATTCAGCTGGAAAACTCTACAATGACAAACTGTCCTGTTTTCAAATCTATATAATTCAATATTCTCTCCACATCTTAAAAGCATTTTAAACATCAGGGGAAAGTAAAGAAATGAAAAAAAATTAACTTGATCCACCACAACATTCACTCAATCATCACATGGGTACCAGTGAAGCATCCTTATCATACAAAGCAGCCACAGAAAGCTGTATAAGAAGAATCTCCACAGAAATATACTTAAGTATATTTGTGCTTTTCAGATTTACATAAGAGTTTAGGGAGTCCAGCTGTAGCAAAGCAATTGAGATAAACTACAGTACAGGGAATCTAAATGCCCAAGCAAGCTCTGAATTTACAGTTCTTTAGATACATAAGCTGAGACACCAAACACATAAAAGACAATCCTGAGAGTAGTCAGGGGAACATTTCCGCACTTTACATGTAATTACATATTTAAAGAGAATCAAATGAGTGAGCAAGAACCAGAACACAACTGCCTACTTCCCCCTTGGCACATTCCCTGTGAACCCAGAGTCCATGTCCCACTTGCTTCCTTGTGGCCACAGGATTTGGGCACAGCTGTCCAACAGCTTCTCCAGGAGGGCTGAGTGGTGCCCCAGCCGGGACATCAGGCAGCCAAGCAGGAGTCACCCATGGCTGGGAAGCTGCAGAGGTTGGGCTGAACCCCTTGTGGGGGGAGCCTGCAAACAGCTCTCACCTCCTGGCTGACTGCTCTGAGCAGAAGCAATTATGCAAAGTGCAAGTATTTGCAAAACATGCAAAATCTCTCCTTCTTAGAGAGCAATTCCTGCTCTGTGACAAAGCTGTCCTCAGGAAAGGCAGATGCTGGATCCCACAAGCACCAAGACACTTGCTATGGAGCCATAAATTAAATGCTGGTGCCTCAATGTTCCTGGATACTGGCAGCAATTTGTAACTGCACAGTGTTATGGCAACCAGGTTAATAGATCTAAGCAATGGCTCTGGACATCTCCTGGGCCTTAAGAAAATGGTGGTGCACACAGTAAACTTTAACACTCCCTAATTGTTTTTTAAAGTTGGTATTTCTTTAAGACATGTGCTTTTGCAATGTTTATAGGAAGAAGTTTTAATTAGAATAAAATGCAGGGGAAAAGTAAAGCTTCCAGAATATCTGAGGTTGGCTTTTGCTGAAATGAAGTGAACCTTTTAATCTGAACTTTTATTAAAATTATATGAGCTACTTTTTACATTTATTATGTAAATTTTGAAGTATCATAGCAGCTAAAAATTTAATGGAGCAATTTTCTAAGTGTACACAAGTTTGCAATAGGTTTACCAGTAATGAGAACCAAGTCAACTGAACTTTCAGTAGGGGCCCCATTAACTACATCATTTTTCAGATGAACTTTAGCATCAGATCAGAACTGTAATTTTTCTTCCAGCCTGACAAGAAGTCTCAGTATGAAAGCAGAAATGCTATTAACTCTCAGACTACTCTGCTAAACTAAGGAACACAATATCCAGAATGTATTATTTTGCTTTCCTCTTCTCTGTTTCCACAAACAGATGTTAACTTAATGTGGGTTTTGGGTTCCCCCACCAGTTAACATGGAAGTCTGCTTATTAACCATTGTGATCCCTTAATACTTTTGTATAAAGCAAAAGAGTCTTTCTGAGTTACTGCAGATCCAATAATCTACCTCTCCTATACCATGTTTCCTTATATTCTCATTGTGAAAATTACTTGGGCAGCACAAACTGTCCCTGTGTAACACAGTCAGAATCAGCAACACACTCTCAGTGCAACAAAGCCAAAGTATATACCCTCAGTTTCCTTGCAAAATAGAGATGATGCTATTTACAATAAATGTGCTGTGCAGAACAGTATTTATGTATTACAAAGTATTTATGCTTTGGACATACTCAGCATTACTCCTTCCAGTTGCAGTTTTAACCAGTGCTCTTAACTACCATAACTACTTCCAAAAAGTATTTCTAAAAACCTTTTGCAGGAAAATAAGCCACTCTGTCATTGAAAACACCTTCTATGTGACTTCCAATGTTTCAGGAGATGGATGTAAATAACTACCCATTCTTAAGAAACTACCAAAAGTACTTCCTTCTTCTTGTACAAAGGCTACAGACACACAAAAAAAAAAAAGAAACCAACCATTTTACAAAATGGGGAAGCATTCTAAAAGTTCCCAGTCAACGCCAAATATAGAAGTTTCAGGTGAAAATGGAAGCCATGCAGAGATGCATGGCAATCTGAATATTACTATGAACTTTCAATCAACTGTGACCCTGTGTAAACTCAGAAAGATGCTCAGATAACAACAGAGCATGAATGAACTCCTGTCTCTTGCCCTGTGCAAGGAGAGTGTCAAGAAAAAAATAAAAAAGAACACAGGCAAGTTAGTGCAGCAGTATCAGGTATTTTGGAAAGCCTCTCATTGTCCCTCAAAACTCACCGAAAAATATTTAACACCAACAGAGTCCTGAAGAAGCCGCTCAAAGGAAACTGCCCAGCTGGCAACTCTCCGCTCCCGCAGCCGCCGGCAGCTCTGCACGCTGGGAAGGCTGGCATTGCTGCTGAGGCTGTTCTCACTGATGCAGTCTTTCAACTCAGTGCTATTCAGCTCTGTCAATAAAGGAAATTACATCTGTCAATAAAGTAATATTCACTTTTACTCTTCAGGATTGTTTATTTGGTTTATCACGCCTCCTGCTCAAGCACACAGTGGTGCAGACTTCTAAATATCCCTCTCCATTTTTAGTAGGAGCACCTGCATAGAAAAAAAACACCCAAAACACTTCTCAAGTGTCTTCTGTTCCACTGCAAAGAAAATTAAATGAGTGTTGTAACAGCAGTCCCCTGACAGAAGCAGAAGGGGCAGGCCCAAAATAAAATCTTTTTTCTTGTTCCACAAAATAAAATATGTTTCCCTCTTAATATTTCTCATATTATAGACTACACTCCTTCAGAAGATTATCCAAGGAAAGTTGACCTTCAAGAACCCACTGTTTACCAGAATGTGGGCAAAAACCTATTAGGTGATATGGGACAGCAAAATTTCATACACACTTCAATTGGTAGACAGGCAATCTGTGAAATTTTGCATGGAAATACAAGATTCCCATTAATACCGAAAATTTAGGAGAGGAGTCAATTGTGGAAAAGAACACTAGGAAAATGAGATAGTAAGGGATGCTTTCCTCATCCACAGGAAATAAGAGACATCAAACCATAGATCCTCAATTTATAATGGTTTCTGATAAAAATAGGGATCCCTTCCAGACTCCAGCCAACATACTGGAATAATCTAGAGACTCCAATATAAGAATTTACCAGATTCTTTAGATCTTGAAAAAACAGAAGTGATTTTCTATTCTGAGAAACAAATTAACAAGAATCCATGGAGAATTCAAGGAAACACAAAAAAAACCCTTTTGTGTAGCAGGCTAAAAACTTCAAGTATTAACCCCAGATCATCTTTGTCATGTCAGTAAACAAAACAGGCTCACAAAGTGTCCAAGTGACCATTTGTTCACAGAAGTAGAAAGGGGAAAGAAATGGCTGCTCTAAGAGACAGAACTGCTTACAGCAGAGCTCTATTCACAGATTTGTCATTTACCTCTTGAACACCCTTTTAAAGGATGGTCCCTCCACCTCCCAGTGTACACAAATATAAAACTGGTAATGCTGAACTCACAGCTGCACACTTCATAGAGGTGATGTGAGGTTTAATTCATTGTGGAGACACAACAAAGGCCTAAACTACCTAGTCTGATCTCCCTGCTTCGAGCACGACAGGTTGCACACAGAGAGATGCCAAACTGAATGAGATTCTTTGATGAAGGGATGAAAAAAATCACAGACATTCAATTATTTGAAAAATTAGCAGTAACAGATGTTAGAAAATTAATACCCTCAAATTAAATAGAGTGTATATTCAGCAATTTTATGCCAAATGGAAAAGTAAGTATGCAGCTCACTAGAAATGCAATCTGTTGGAGAAAACTGAATTCACAACCAATCAGAAATGGACTGTGCTTCACAGGGCTATTTTTATGATTTTGCTCAGTTAATCACTTAGACTAACTAAAGCAATGAGTAATTTCACCAAAAAGACCCTACTGTATATGCTCTCCCAAGATCTCTTTTCATGTTAGAAGTATTTGAAAGCACTCTGCATTTCCAAACTTCATGTTACAAAACACGACTGTTCCTCCCTGGAAGTAAGAGCTTTGAAAAAATACACCATTGAAAATAGTTACAAGCATTGGAAAAAGCGATAAAGATAGTTGTAAAGATAAGAAAATAAACATTTTTAAGAGTTCCAAAACTTCATTTTTAAACATATTCTTAGCTCAGAAATATTCACTAAGATGTAACAGTTAACAATTCTGAGTTTCTGTAAGCAAAGCTATTTTTTAAGACATAAATAAAATGAGTAAGACAAAGATACAAAATTACATGAGGGAAAAACAAACTGTAACTTTGTATCTTTAATGATAATATTTAAGGACACTAGTAACAAATCAGGTATACAAATAACTTTCTTCACCTAATCACCATATAAATCAAGGTTAATTACTAACACTCAGCAAATAATGCCAAATTTTCTTATACAAATATTTATTCACTTTTTCCTTTAAGACATATGAAAGAGCATAACCAACTCAATTGTTAACTTCATTAGAGAATACCTGTCCCCAGAGTGAAACTATTGTGAAAGAAGTTAACGTGAATCTGAAGAGAATGATACCTAACTTTATTATCTGTAGTATTTTGCTTTAACTCTGCAGGTGGATATGTTCTATTTTACAGTCCAGGATACAAATAGACACCCACTTCTTGATAGATCTGGAACAGTTTCAGATACTGCCTCGCTCCTGGAGGGTTCAATCCCAGTGTTCTCCAGAGATGAATGATGAAAAATTCCTTGTTCCTTTCAGGCAAATTCAGAAAGGCAAACTCATCCCACATACCAAACCCCTGAAACCTACTTGGCTGACAGAGAGAAATTAGGGAGCAGCCACACCAAGAGCTCAACTCTGGATCCTGGAGTCACAGTGCCTTAGGACTCAGAAGGGATTGGGAAGTGGCAGGCACAGCAATCATCAGCCAGTCAGCATCACCTCCCTCCCGGTGGCAGGCGTTCAATTTCCCCATGGCAGCCGGGAAACCAAACTGCAATTACAGCCTCCAGTGTTTACACCAGTGGGTAACTGCTAACTACCTTTAATTGCTACCAGCTGCCTGCTCTCTCCAGCTCCTCAGAGTTACACTCCTCTAAACTAAAAGCACCAGGTTCTCCCTCCTCTGATACGCTTCCGACTCTGGAGATCCCGTGAAAACAGATGAACCAAAATAAGACTATTTCCATCAACCAAAGAGCTACTAGCACAGGTCTTCCAGTATGTTAACATAGCATTAAGGGATTACTCATTCCCAGTAAGCTGTCTCTGTTATGGTAGATTTCATTCAGGTAATTCAAACTTTTTTCAAAAAGAACTATTTTAATTTATACTTAACCCTGGCACAGCTTTGGTTTCCCTTAATGAAAAAATATAGTTGGTTTGTTTTTAAAATCTGTAGAGTTTTCTGCTGTGGTGCCCATCAAGCTGAAAACATACAGAAAAGGTTGTTTGCCAAAACAGGCTTGGTTATTCTAGTTCTTTTACCACCCAGATCATCAGTAGCAATTAAAAGAGTTACAGCCTAGTGTAGATACACCATTTAGAACTGGAGAAAAAGAAAGTCAGATAGAATGAAAAACACTTCCCTGACTCTAACATTAGTACCGAATTTATCCAAATCACACTTAAATGTATAAGGCATAATTCCTGCTCCACTCCTCTTGCACAGGAATGTTTCCAATGAAAGACTCCAGCATCAGGTTTCCTGACTCTCACAGCTCATGCATTCCTAGGTACACGCAGCCCACCTTGGAAAGCAGGAATGGAGAAACTTTCCAACCCAGCCACATATTTCATCTAATGAGCCCTCTGTGATGATCATCAGAGGAAACACAGAGCCCTGACTCCCACCCTCACATGTTCTCACCACAGGGCTGTTGGGCAAAGTGGACTCCTCCTCCTCCACCCCATGAAGTATTTTAAAAAAAGAACATGAGCAGTTGGGAATCTCAAGATGCCAGAGGAGTTTAATGTGAAAAACTCCAGCTCTGCATGGACAACGTGAACTACAGCAGTGCTGGGAAGTTTCCAAATGCCTGCCTTCCTTTGTCATCACTTCTGGAAGCACTGACTTATCTTGTACTACCTGTAAAAGGAGGCTCCTTGATCAAACGTTTCAAATCCCAGGGACCTAACTTTATTTTTGTTCTGCTTGATAGCAACTATACCTACTGAGGAAAAACTACTTTGAGTGAAAAGTCATTCAGTTTCATTTATTATCTTTTGGAAATACAGAACTGACACAGAATGCTATCTAAAAAATCCTCAAAACACAATGTTTTGCACTTTTTGTGTTTATATATTCCATGAAGGGTCTTGGTTTTATTTATTCTACAAAAACAGCATTATGTAAGAAAATACAGGCATTTAATCAACTAAGTCTTCAAAGCATTCAGGATAGGATGGCTTCAGAAGTTTTGGTTTAGATAATATAAAGCCATAACCTGAATACAATAAATTGAGACTATTTTGTATGCATTTGCATGTATTTTCTATACATTTCTCAGCCTACAAATACTTTTTGTTGTTGTGAGAAGCTAAGCACATTCCTCTTAATCACAGGAACGCACACAAATCATATAATCACTAAATAAATTACCTGGATAAAGCTGGTAAGAACCACTGTGGTGCCACTTAATCAAATACTTCAAGCCCTTCACTGAAAGCCATCCTTCTGAATCCATACCAAGTTCAGCTGAAACGTCCCGGAACCCATTGGGTGCAGATTAGTCTCACTGTCCAGCACATTGTTTGTTCCTCTGCAATTCTGGGATGAGAGAAGCTAACAAAGTTCCCCACAGCAACTCCTGGGAGCTTCAAACACCTTTCTAAACAACTTGATTCCTTGCCTCGTAGCTTCAAGCAGAGGGAAGCAATAGTATACTTAACACAAAGCATTATAAAATGCTACATAAATAATTTAAAGAAAAGACCTTTTGCCACTGCTGCTAAAGGAACTTGAATTATTTATGCTACAGTGGAACACAGCTACAGTGAGCACGCACCACCAGCAGAACTGACAAATAAGTCATATACATGCTAGAGGAAACAATCCATCTGTATTTATAGTGCAAAAAGCATAAACAGTGTTTTGTTTTATTTTGCACTTCACTGCAAATTTTTTGCCTTACCTTCCTCAGTTACTTTTTAAAATACAGTTTTACATTATTTATTACTGCAAACATCAGACTCCTTTCAGAAAGGTCTTTAGGAACACTTTTCCTTACGAAAATTATTTCCACATGATGAAGACTAAAAGCAAAAATCAGCCAAAACTACAGCAAAGTAGTATCTTAGGAAAAAATGTGCACAGAGTATCTGTTAGGCTGAAGTATTTCAGCTTTGTGGAACTGATCTCTGCAGGGAACAGCAAGTGAGAACTGACTCAGACATTCTCACTAGCTCAGATACCTCACCACCTCTGTCTGGGAGATGAATGATGATGGTACTTCTGTTATAGATCCTTTGACCTTAAGGTTTTTCCTTTCTAAAGTGCCTTCCAGGTATAAATAGCAAAGTCAGACATTAGCAGGGGCCTATTGATCATCCCTGTGACAATTCAGATGGCACAGTGCTCAAAACATCAGGCACAGCCTGCGTGCTGTGTACACACTCCCACGGCTCCCACAGTCAGCAGCAAAGGACAGCTTCTGAGGTGGGAAGCAGAGAAACCTGCTAATTACAGGTCACTGTAGCAACATAAAATGGTTCCTGCTACTCCTAGAGCAGAGGTGCTGCAGGTTAGTTGATCTACAGCAGTAATCTTGCATCTAAGCATTATTACAGTTTGCATTCTGATTGTCTGCAATTCATTACACAAATCAATTAGAGTTAAGAGCTGCCACTGGTCGGCACATCTGGAAACAACACTAATTTACAAGTCAGCTATCTTAAAATACCCAAGTGCAGTTTTGGCTGATAAGAACATCCCAGCCTTGCACAAACTGGGATGTAAGATATAAAATAAACACAAAGGGGTAGATGGTTTCCAGGGCCGGGCTCTAACATAATAAAAGCCATATCACATAAATCTTCATTGACTTTTCAAAGAAAATGTACAAAGAACTGCTGTGCCTCCCACCATACTGAAGAGATGTACATAAAGCAACATAATTGCTTTTTACACATTAATTTTCTTCCCAAACTAAAGCTTAACAACAGTATTTATAGTATCTATATGTACAAATAATATTAATTAATAATACCAAGCAGAAGAGAAGGTCCTGGAGAGACTTTAGAGCACCTTCCAGTACCTAAAAGGGGTACAAGAGAGCTGGAGAGGGACTTCTGACAAGAGCAGACAAAGGGTAATGGCTTTAAACAGAAGGAGGGTAGATTTAGATTAGATATTAGAAATTTTTCACTCTGACAGCAATGATAACACTGGAACTGGTTGCCCAGAGAAACTGCAGATGCCCCATCCTTGGAAGTGTCAAGGCCAGGCTGGATGGCAGCAGGGCTGGAACAAGTTGACCTTTAGAGTCCCTTCCAGCCCAAATCATTCTGTGATTCTGTGATGACAATGATTTAGTCTAGGAAGGGAAGTATGCAGTGCTGTACTAATGGTTACACTGGGGAAAATTTCTCTAAACTAAACATACCCTAAAAATGTCTGTCTTTGGATCTATTTGTGTATTAGTAAGATTAAGGAAAACTGAAAAAAATTCTGCACTGCGCCATACTAAATGAAAGTAAATGCTAGAAAATAAAATTCATACATGAATGAGAACCATTTACTCAATGCAGCTTGAGGTGAATTAGGAATTTATTTAATTTCACTTTTTGAAAATTAGTCTCTCTGGCTCCTATTCTTCCAACCCACTATCTGGGTACTTCAGCATTGATTCAATATTATTCAATATAGTTCAACTACCACTTTTACACAAATTATACCCCTTCTTAAGTACCATTTAACAATGAAGAGAGAGTTCATGTTAAATTCCAAGCTAGCTAAAAGAATAGGGAATACAACTCAAAAAATAGCACATAACTTCTTGGCTATTTTTTCACCTCTGTAACCATACATGGCTCTTAGATTTCATGAGTTCAAAAAAGTGTATAGAATTAGTTGTGAAAACAGTTACCTAAAGATTTGGAATAAGACACAAATCATATTGGAAGAACTGAAAATAAGTGGAATTTTTAAAATAAATTTTCAGCTGGCAGGATAAAAAATCTTGACATTATTATTGTATGAGTATTATCACAGGGATTCCCAAGTCTGGATAGGCCACAAAATAACTTCCATGAACAGAGAACAAGACCCCTCATGGAGATAAGATACAAGTACATTGCATTTTACCTAAAAAAATATCAGTCAAAATTTTGGTCCTCAACAGCCACGTCCACAGTCAGAAAGTCTGTGGTCTGCTTTGATTTTTATATCAAGAAGGTAACATGTGGGGGGAAAAAAAATACATATTTTTCCCAGGAAAAACACAGGCCACATTTTAAAAATAGAAAGCAGAATAAACACTATTATTTTCTGATTTGTTGTTTTTCACTTTGTGGACAAGACAGGTACAACACAGAGTCTGCTTCTTGTCCAGACAGAAGTACAGTAAAGCATTAGACTGTGTCAGCAGGAGAGAAGGAGAATACCTGACAAAGTCAGCCACTGGAAAATGGCTCCAGCAAAAGGACCAAAACAGTAATGTTTTTCTGAAGTGCAGTTTTAGTCTTGCAAGGAATCAGAAATTAGGATATGAACAAGTTTTGTAAATAGTATTGCTAATTTTCATTTACATTTGCATGTATTATAAAAGAAATTATCATTAGCATTCCAAATTTTTTTTTCCAATTTCACTGCACTGATTATGGCAACACATCTTGTTCCCTTTTGTCCTTTTTTGTTTAATAAATGTATCTTGTAACGTTGTCAAAGAACAGCAAATGCAAAAATACATGGGTTTTTCTGCAGGATCAAGTGAACCTGCTCCTGCCAGAGAAGACAAGAGAAAAGCCATCTCCTTTATACCCTACATTGTACAAATTCCCTTATTCCATTAAGGAAGCCTTTTTAAACTGTTTCAATTAACTTCAAAGCTTCAGAGAAATCATCTTCTAATGTTTAACCAAGAGTGGACATCCTTTAAAACATTAAAGGCATGTTAAAATCAAAACAAACCAGCTTATGTGCAATAAACAGGAGTTTACTTAGAAGTACTCCAGAAATGCAAGAGCTCCATGCTGGGATTTTACAAATATCAAATTACTTACCCCCTTCTCAAAAAGGATCACATTTAAGAAAGTTCAACCTCAACAAACGTACCAACACAGCTTACAACTCAGAAACTAGAGCATCTCTTTAAAAGCAAACAAGGTATGTAAAGGACAATAAAACAGAGAACGAGATTTTATCTACCATCCAATTACATAGAAGTCTACCAGCTCTGCCTCTATTATTATGAATGAAGAACCTAGTTATAATAAAAATGTTCATATATAAATGTACCCAAAAAATATTATGCAAATAAACCAGTGAAAGTATGTGAATACAAGCCTGCAATATTTTCACTGGCACAGTTCCCAAAGCAGCCACAGAGTTCTGCACCACCTTGGACTTACATCTTGTAATATATCACATAATTTACCACATATTATGTTGCTTAATGTGGAAAAGTGATTATTTTTCATTATAAAAGTAAAAACAAGCTTCAGCTTACCTCCATCAGAAACAGTTGCTGACTGCAATAAAAAAGAGAAAAAGAAAAGTGTTACTGAAGTTTCATGGCAAGTATCAGAAATCTTTGAGTTTCATTTAGCATTTTCAGTACTAGATACTTTTATCATCTTATTAATAAGTGATAATATTAGAGAGGAAAATCTAAAGAAGTCAGCTGTTATTTCTCACAGTTGTTTTCTCCCCAGCATGAAATTCACCCCTTTCAACCACTACTGCCCAGGGATTTCAGCCCACCAATATTTTTTGGAAGGTGAATTTCCTGCTGTGGTAACTACACTGCTCCCAAAAGTCCTTCTTAGAGGGGCAGAGACAATCAGCTGGTACTTGTGACAAGGCAGATACCTAAAACTGACCTGCAAAGACTGGAAAACAATATGAATTAAAACAATACCTCATGCACTTTAATTTGCTGTAGTGTTTGGAGATATGTGGCATAAAAATGAAAATTCAGTGTTTAGTCAGGCAGGTGACCCTAAAAACTTTTCCTATCAGTCACTTCTGACTGTCACAGAAACAAAAGGATGTTCAGAGTGCTTGCAATAAACCAGAATTTAACTTCCAATAAGTAAGAACTCCTCACCACCTCTACCTATTGTACATCAGATTTTCAAAGACAATTAGTATGCTAGTGAAATGTTGAAGCTTATGCGCTTATCTACCCTAGACTTCTCAACTTTCATCATAAATGACCTCAAGGCATCCAATACCTCCTTAAATCCAAGTACTGACCATTTCCCAAATAGGTACTCCAATGCTTGAACCTTGACACTCAGCTGAGTGAAGTGTGGAGGACAAATGATTTTTAGATTTAAGTTTGCATTGATTTTTTAATGACTAATAGAAAGTATTTTTATTTTAGGTTGGCCAATCTTTTCTTGGTCATTGAAAGTGTCCTTGAACATTTTGGAAACATTCTAAATAGTTAAAAATAGTCTCTTCATTTGTAATGCTCATTAAAAGGCTTAGAAATATTGTCCTACAGTATCTAAATTTTTTTCAATGTCAGAAACACACAGAAGAAGAAAAGCACAAATATAAACACAATTCAAGCTAACAGCTACCTCTCCATAGTTTGTGTTTTTCAGCCTTGGCAACAAACAATCCCACTCTTCTTCAAAATCCACCAAAAAACCCTTTAGTAATATATTCTCCTTTCTTTCTCTCTTTCACTGCAGGCTCTCACCCTGATGTTAACACTCTCTGAAGAAATTGTTATAAATGACCTCACCATTCCCATCAGCAGGAGAGGATCTGAGCTAGTCTCTGGCACAAGTATTCTGGGACTTCCAAAGTCATTCCCCTGGTGCTAGTTCAGATAAACATAAATACACCTCTCATTAAAAAGATTTTAAAAATTAAAAAATGGTGGCACTTCTTGCTTAACTACATAAATGCTTCTGGATCTGTGAAGCATAATAATATAACAAAAAGGATCTGCAAGCATCTCCCTTTAAGAGCTTTGTTTCAGGTATCAAAAACATGGTTATGGTTACAATCCTTCGGTGGGGCTTAGGAAATCTTTTCTACTTCTATTTTGTACATAAGCCTAGTGATCATGTTATAAATTCAGAAGCCATAACTTAATTCATGTTGGTAATTTAGAAAATTTAATTTGCATTACTGAAATCTGGTTTATAAATGTGATTGCTTCTAATTTCTTAGCACATCACTGTACAGTACAGTTAATGAATAAACAACTTCAATGTCATTTCTAAAAGAGCAAAGAAAATGATGACTCAAAGTAAAGTAATAGTATCAGCTTACACATTAGACAGAAAAAAAACCCAAAGTACTTTCAAAATATCTATATTTTAGGAATGGTCATTTACTTTGTTAGCTTTCATTAACCTAGATTGAAACACCACATGGTTTTGAAAGGTATGAAGCAAAATTATTAGGATTTTCATGATAGCAGAAAGAATGTTCATACTACTTCTGTCAAAAACTGGGAAGTTAACAATTATAAAAGATATTTGCATGAGAAAATGGTGCAATTTCATAGAAAAGCTCAATCATGAATGGACACTGAGAGTTTTATCTCAATTCCTTTTGCATAAGTTAATGCAGTGAACTTTCTGCACACCACAGGTTGGTTTTGCTTGTTTATTTTAAATGTTTTGTCTACATTAGGTGTATCAGCATTTTAAAATCTCTCCAAGCAGGACCTTAGTAATTTTTATGTTAGAACATTTTAGAAAAGCACCTATAGAAGGAATATATTTTACTAGAGTCACTAAATATACCTATTGTGTTCCAAGCATTATCCTTTTATTTCTATAAATCACAGAATAAAATATATTTTAAGAACATTTCTTTCAATTCATCTGTGTAATTAAATCCATCTAATTCAATAAAACCTAAAAACTAAAGCTTGTAATTACTGTGCAAGAATTAATATTCAAGTAATATCTTCAAACTACGTTTGTGAGTACTCAGAAATCTCAGTTTAAACCTGTCAGAAATTGCATGAAGTCCACATTCAGACAAAGAAGTTTCTCTTCTAAACTGTTCAGCTGAAACTTGTCTAGATTTGTCTTTGAAAGGTATAAGTTGCAAGACCAGATTTTTTTAAATACTATGATGAGCTCATTTTAAAAATACAGTTTATGTTGGGGACTTTTTTTCATTCTTCAGCACTCATGTTTCCCACCACTGGAGGCTCTTCAGGATAAAATTTGATCTACTACACATAAAAAGTTGAATTAGTTGATGAAATTTAACACTACACATATATTAAGAACCACCTATTGAAAAATATGTGTATCAGAAGATATAAAATTGAAAAGCTCCTGTAGGGAGCCATTTCAGAAAGAGGAGGAAGGACAGGGCATGACTCTGTGCCAGTTAGGGCTAAAGTGAGGATTTTTTTTTTTAAGTATTTAAGCATTTTATTACAAATGACAGAACATATATGTTGTAAATGTACCTATGAGCTATCATCCAGAGACAAAATCTAATTGGATGAAACCATCAAATCTTTCACAACCAGATAAGAACTGAAATTTCTTCCAATTACACCAGTTACCGAATTGGTTTAGGAAAAAGCCCCTGGTATATGCCAGGAATTTGATGGCAACACATTACCAAAACTTTAAAAATAAATCTAATTTAGGAAAGCTAAAATGCCTTCCAGTAGTTGCCTTCACGGGAACTCTGCTTGCTCATCTCACTGGATTAGCAGCTGGGTTACACAGACACTCACACACCCCACAAAGCTGGGGGATGCAACTCTGTGCCAGGGACTTCAGGAGAGGGTCTGGATCTCTGTGATTTGAGAGGGAAGCTCAGTGGCAGAGCCAGCAAGCTGAAGAGTGGTTTCCCAGCTACCATACAGCACAAAAGATGCTCTAGGTCTCTCTAAACTGGCAAATGCTGCAGCATATATTTGATAGCATGAAGTTCTGAATAAGAGAAAACATGTTACATTCCCCTTTGCATCATCTCTCTTTGCTAGGTGGAAAAACCAGAAGGGCCTGTGAGCTTTTGATGTTGTGTTCAGGATCTGCTAGCAACAAATCTAAAATAGTTTAAGCTTACAATAATTATTAGGGAGAAAACTACTTTGTGAGTACCTAATTTTTTTCCCAGAACAGAAGTAGACAACACAGTACCTTGCACCAACAGCAAGGTACAAAGGGAGAGAGGGCATAGAGGAGAATAATTCACAAGGCTGAAAGTTCATAAGGTTGGAACAGGCTGTATCTTTTAGCTTTCATGGCCTATAACCTGCTAGATGTGTGCAGCTCTGCATGAAGCTTGTCTGATGACATCTTTCAGGTGACAGAAACTCTTATCCATCTTACATGTTCCCATTTACATGGATCAGGTCCCAGAGAAGTGACTAGGTACTGTCCAATTCTGCCATAACAACATCCTGCAGAAAACCAAAAAATACCCCACCTATAGCCCAGGCATTATATTGAGCAAATAAATCCATGTGTACAACTACCCAGGTAACACAATACAAAAATTTCCTTTCTCTCCACCTCAAGATTTGTCACTCAAGTCGAAGACATGCTCAAACACTGGAGTAGAACAAAGGGAAAGAGGGGGATACTGGCAGGGGTGGGTGACACATACTGGGAAATGCCAGGCCTTAGAAATAAAATGGAGCAACGTGAAATCATCTGTGCCATTACAGTGGGGGTGAGTGCCTTCCTGAGCCAAGAAAGACATCTCTGTTTCCCACTCCTCCTGAGAAACAGAGGGTAAAATCTGTAAGGAGAGTGAAGATTTATTTCTCTCCCCTATTCCAACAATGACAGAATCACAGACTAAACAGAAACATCTATTCTTTTCCCGGGCATCCAGAAAGATTTGGAATAAAAGGGATTTAAAATGACCTCTCTGTCTCCTTTCCAAAGCACACTTTCTTGCAATACAGGCATCGACTTCTTGCTGCATCCAAAGAATTCTCTGAGTGCTGCCAGAATCTGTTACTTACCCAGTACAACATCACTTCACACACTATTTTATAAAGTCCCTGCATATGAGCCTTTCAGGTTAGAATAGCACACCTAGCTCCACCAACATTCTAAACTCATTTCCTCATACGATTTCAGTATAGAGGATAATGCTAGGAAATCTGCTGGGTTCTGAACATTTACAGGCTGAATACAAAGAGCCAACTTTCAAACACTCTGTCACTTATCTCAGGGAAAGCCCATCTCTCAGCTGACCGTCTGCTTGCATCTAGCTTTGTTCAAACTACTTCTTAAATCACCTGAAGCAATTTCTCCTTTTGCCAAGGTATGTATTATGAGCAAATCCCCAGGTCTTCAGTCACATTACTCCAAGATTTACATGATATATATATGTATTTTCAAATATATTATAGCATCAACATAGTTCATGCCATGAACTCCAGTGGACTCTGGGAGGGGAGGGAGATCGTGCCTCAAAATATGTTATATACAATTCTAACATTTTACATAAAAAATAAAGCCATATTACTCATCAATTATTGCTAGTTTTTCCTTCTAATAAAGAACCTCAAATGTAC